TTAGCTCCAATATGGAGATCAGTTATCCTTAAAACAAATAAGGAAACATCCTATCTTACTGGTATCTTTTCACAAACTTGCTGACATTAAAAAATGTGGTATTCTATGTCAGAACATTTAAGGTAATTTCTTATGTAGGAATCATAAATAGCCAAGTCTTATCCAGATTTGTTTCTCTAACATGTAGCAGAGTTCTTGTCATATAATAAGCCCCAGTTAATATTTCCTTGTGGCTGGGCACAGTGGCTCACACTTGTAATCCCAGCACTTTGAGAGGCTGAGGCAGAAGGATCACTTGAGGCCAGGAGTTTGAGACCAGCCTGGGTAACACAGAGAGAACCTGTCCCTAATTAACATTTAGCCAAGCCTGGTGGCACGTGCCTGTAGGCCTAGCTACAAGAAAGGCTGAGGCAGGAGGTTCACTTGAGCCCAGATGTTCGAGGTTGCAGTAAGCTATGATTACACCACTGCACTCCAGCCTGGACAACAGAGAGAGAGACACTGTCCCAAAAACAAAACAAAACAAAAATTTATCTGTAAAATAAATAAACCTACCAACAGCAGCAAATCAGCCATATAAGATCTTTAATTTTGGAACTAAGTAATTGATATGTCTTGTATTTATGACTTTAGAGAAGGTAGAGGTCAAGGGACAAATAACTCCGTATTTTTAATTCGAAGTATAAAGAAAACAGACCAGCTACTCTTATAGTCAATCTGCAAGTAATATCTCTTCCTAGAATTACTTACTAAAAATATACCAGATACTACACCTTTTTCTTTATCTTGCTATAGGGATTATCCGCTGCTCTAATTTCAAATTCAGACATTCTATCACTTAATACATATGCAAAACTCTAGTCTTAGAAGAACCAAATGACTGTAGGTGTGTGCAAAAAAATTTTTAAACCTACACAAGTAATTTCATTTAACGTATTAAACAATTTTTCTGAGAGAAAACCAGATTACCATAAAAATTCGTATTTGCTTAAGATTTTACCTTTACAGTAGACTGGAAGCATGATAGTCTCTGAACTTGTCTGCCAGTGTTACTATCCCACACCTAAATTTATGTTAAGAAATAATTTCTAAACAGAATTTTAAAATCTTAAGTATAACTTTTCTAATTAATAATTAAATCACAAATGTTAAACATTTAGTTAGAAAATCTTTAAATAAAACATAAAATAGTATTTATACTACCACAAAAATTAATTCATAGTGAATCATCAACTTAGAGCAGGCTTATGATCTAAAATAAGTCTGAGGTAAATTTTCCTATCAAATTACTTGAAAATGCCAACAGAATGAGTGGTCTGAAGTACTGAATCTTTATAGGCATTAAATATTGCAGCTGTTTATTCTCCAGAATAGTCTACCATAATCTAATAACCTGAACATCAAGTATTTATGCTAAAAACTATCACGTCCATTAATATTTACTGAAAGCTCCCTGCAATGTGCATGGCATCATTTACTACTGTTATTCCAATTCAAAGAAGACACTACCAGTGTATTATTATTACCTGTATATGTATTTAACATAATTTGAGAGCCTATCATAAAAAGTCCAAAGTTAGTTTGACTTATGGAGCATAACGATTTTCAAACTTATTATACCAGTTCCTATGGTAAGAAACACATTTTACATCATGTCTAAAAACACATTTACATACATATATATGTATGTAGTAAAAATTGAAACTAATTTCACAAACCAATTATCACATCCAATGCCTTTTATTTTTTATTATACAAATGCACCTCAACTTACAATAAGGTTATGTCCCAATAAGCCCATTCATTGTTAAGTGGACAATATCATGAGTTGAAAATGCACTTATTAATACACCTAACCTCTCAAACATCATAGTTTAGCCTAACCCACCTTAAATGTGCTCAGGACATTTACACTAGCCTACAGTTTGGCAAAATCACCTGGCAACACAGTGCACTGCAGAGTGTCGCTGTTTACCCTCACGATCGCATGGCTGACTAGGACCTGCTCCTTGTTGCTATCGCTGCCCAATATTGGGAGAGAGTATCGTCCTGCATATCACTAGCCCAGGAAAAGATCAAAATTCAAAATACAGTGTCTATTTAATGCATATCACTTCACACCATTGTAAAGCTGAAAAATTTTAAGTCAAATCATCCTAGGTCCGGGACCATCTGTCTCGTATTCCATTTTTTAAATGAAGCTAGATATGTTATGAGAATTAGATATTTTATATATATGTCACTCTAAACAAACTACTAGCACATAAAAAATGCTCCTAGTAAGCAGACAATGTTTTCTGGTCTTAAATTCTAGTATTAGCACACAGCTTTTCACTTATTTCATTATTTGAAAGCTATGTTTACTATTCAGTAACTTGAGCTCTTAAGGATATCACTTGACAAAAATAAAAAAAAA